AATGACCCATTCCTCCATTGGTATTTTCGGTGCCTACTTCGGATAATTGCGTGCTACAACCGGCCGCGAATACGCACGACGAACGCGTGACTTCCTCTCCTTGATCCCCTCGGTTCCCCCGCTCGTCTCCTCGGTACCTCGCTCGATGCTCGTCTCCGTCGAGTTTGGCGAAACTAGAGCTCCGCAGAAGAGCCGTCTCGCTTTGAGAGATCTAGCGAGAACTGGTCGAGTTTCGTCGACGAGGTCTTCGATCGCGTGAGTTCTCCCGAATCTCTCCAGTTCGATCTGCAGGGATACTCGAGAGTTTCCTTGGAGCGAAATAATAATAACATAACTATCTTTCGCATCGCGCGAAAAGATTTACGAGGAACTCACGGGTGCTTCGAAAACTTGGAACGTTTCGTTGTCGTTTCGACATCGTCAGGAAATATCTATTTCGTTTCCGCGAACGTTCGGATGTTGCACGATACAACAAGTCTATCTTTAGATCTCGGTTAAAATCTCGAGACAACGCATAGCACGTAATCGATTTTCCACGAGCGGCCATCGATATGAAGAAAATCCCCGATAGCGATCTGGCAGGTCCGCGCGCATGAATATGAATCGTTTCATAAGATTTATAGTTAAGGTACCATTGTGATCGGAATACATTCTGAGAAATCGATCGGCTGATGTCACGATTTTATTTCCGCGGGCGGTATTAGATGGTATCGCTTTCGACCACCGTTTCCTTGAAGTGATTACGTAGTCATTGGGTCTCGGAAATCGCAGCGATTTGTATGAAACACTTCATTTTTCCATCCCTGACGGCTATTGATTCGCTTATGACGCGTGTACCCTCTTTGACAGTTGAACGAGGAGAGCCTCGCCAGATGCGGGCGAGAGAAAGATACGTTTCCGCTGAACGCAGTTTGGAAAATATAAAAAATTTAATAACGCAACGGCTCGTCGTATTGTTAGATGCGTCATTGTTGTATTTTCCATATTGCACGAGGGAATTTCCTCATAAAGCACGGTAATCTTGCGTTGCAAAACAATTCAACGACTATGAAACACAAGGAAACAATTCTTATACG